TTTTGAAGTTCCCAGGCAATTCTAACATGCAGTCAAACTGGAGAACTCCTAACCTGCAGAACTCCTATAGTCTCTTCCATGCCAGAATACGTACTTCACATAATAACATAAAAACGCATCTAATAAGTCAACACAGATGCCCCTTCGTTATTTTCAATAGACACAACACAACTAGGCTAAATGAAGGTCTATCACTCCCACATTCATTAGAAACTACTATGACAGAAGGCGATACATGCCTCACTCTCTAAACAACCAAAGGACCAACGACGAGAGATACCCAATTCATTCTTGAGGGACACACCGCAGCACTGCCACCTCAGCTGTCAAAATAATACCAAAATGGCCATGGAACCCTTCCACAGGAACTAGTTTAGCTCTCAAAGGCAGGACTGAGAGTGTACTACGCAATACAGGAGTGGTCATAAGGACAAGGACAACGCCTGCAGTAAACACCAACATCCTAGTGAAATAAATTCAGAGTGACTGAAATAAATTCAGAGTGACCCAAATCATAAAGAAAAGTTACAAACACTTAGAGCATTCCTTACCTGGGTATTCTGGAAGTAATGCCTCCACAGAGGCCTAATTTTATCTTGACCACCAACATCCCACACTGTGAAACAAATGTTCTTATATTCTACTGTTTCCACATTAAAACCTACATGGAAAAACAAAGAAAAGATTGCTATGCACCATAATGCATCTCTGAAATGATAAACTCCTTATTCTCTATAGAACGGCTTTCTAGAAGTCCTAATAAGATAAATCGGCAAGCTTTACAAACAAAGCACTAGTTATGTAACTTCTGTCATCATACTATAAATGAAATTCATCAGTAAACTTTCTTACCAATGGTAGGAATGGTGGTGACTATCTCCCCTAACTTGAGTTTATACAGAATGGTCGTCTTGCCAGCAGCATCCAATCCAACTAGAAGAAGACATTATATATTTCAAATTCAGATCAAAAACACACGAAAAAATAATTTTAATTATAATCTGAAAGTAAAAGTTGCCATGAGATGTGGTGGTGCACGACCATAATCCCCAACTCAGAAGCCTGAGTCAGGAGGACTGTTGTGAGTTGAAGGCCAGCCTGACATACACAGTGAGTTCCCGGCCAGCTTCAGCTGCATAGGGAGACCCTGTCTCAAAAAAAAGAAAAGAAAAGAAAAAAGAAAAGAATGTGCTTTTTGTGGGGTGGGAATCCAATCAGAAAAGGGTTGACCTAGACTACTGTGGTGGCATATGCCTGTAATGGGTGCACTGTGGGAGGCTGAGGCAGGAGGATCATAAAGTCAAGTTCAAGTGATTTAGCAAAAATCCTGTCTCAAAATTTAAAAAATGAAAGAGCAGGAGACAGCTCCTGCCTTGAGAGGCCTGGGTTCAATTCCCACTTATAGGAAGGAAGTAGGGAGGGTAAATCTTATTACAGTGATAATGAAGGGCAATGTAAATGCCTTTATATATGAATATCTCAAAACCTATACATCTTTCATTGTCTGCTAAAAGCCTCCTTTAAGTAGAAGAGCCTCATTACCACATCTAATTTGATAATTTTTTTTTTCTGTCTTTTCGAGACAGGGTCTCACTATGCAGTTCAGGCTGGCCTTGAGCTCACTTTGTAGCCCAGGCTGGCCTGGAATTCACAAAGATCACCCTGCCCCTGCCTCCTGAGTGCTGGGACTACAGGTGTGCACCACCACACCCAGTATTTGATCAATTTTTAAAATCAACTTAGCTGAGTATTATTCAAGCAAGAATACCTTCATATTTAAATCAAAATATGGCTTAGTACAGGAAAGCAATGCTAGTAAGTTTAAAAAAATGAATTCATCTCATTTATCTAGTTTATATTCCCATGTAAATTAAATTTAACTTCTATCAGGTCAGTCCAAAACAGTACTGCCCTACAGTTAATTCAGACTTCTTCCGCCTATATAACATAACAAAGGATCTTTTCTATCTTGTTCTTTAATAAAGAGCAGCTTAAAGATTTATCAGGAGAGTCAAAGCCTCCCCTGCCATGCCCCCCGTACCAGGAATCGAACTCATGACCTCACGCTTGCCAGGCAGGCGCTGTGCAGCTGAGCTAAAACCCCAGCCCCCGAAAGCCTCTTATGTTTTCCTATTCTTATGCCTCTAAGCAAACCTTGTTCTTCTACTTATTTGTACTGAGATCCAGGTTTATTCTTTCCAAAGTACTATGACACATACTACAGTACCTCATTCACGGCTACAGAAAAGTCAACTGATACACAGTGATTTATTTTCTGAATATGAAAACAGTACCAAAAGATAAATCATCGTCAACAACAAAGAAACCCAAATAACCAGAAAACATTACTAGGAAGAAATACACAAAGCAACAGGCCAGGCATAGGGGCACATGCCTGTAATCCCAGCATTCAAGAGGCTGAGGCAGGACCAGAGATATAGCTCAGTGGCACAAGAGCCTGCCTGGCAAGCGCAAGATCCTGAGTTCGATTCCCGGTACCAAAACAACCCCCAAAACAAACAAACCAAAAAACATAAATTAAAAAAAGCTAACATGCATAAAATGTGAAACTATATTCTTCGGGCCAGGGATATAGCCTATTGGCATAAGTGCCTGCCTGGCAAGTGCAAGGTCCTAAGTTTGATTCCTGGTACCAAAAAAAAAAAAAGAGGCTGAGGCAGGAGGATCACTGTGAGTTTGAGGCCAGTCTGAGCTACAAAGTGAGTTCAAGGCCACCCTGAACTGCATAGTGAAAGTATGTCTCAAAAAGACAAAAACAACAACAACAAAACAAACAAAAAAACCCATAAAGTAGCTTATTTAAAAATTTTTAAATACTGCAAGGGGATGCAAAAAGCAACAAGATCTTTTAATTTTAATTTTCTTTTAATTTACAAAGCTATTCCTAATGAGGACCTAAGACTTCTTTAGGTTATCTTAACCAAATTATTATGAAAATCTAAATACGTATCTCAAAATACAATTATTCCAAGTCAGAACTGAAAGTGAAATACTGATGGGAGGAGGAAAAAAAATTAAACCACTCTAGTGAGCTTTTCAGAGCCCATCAGTCTACACTACAGGTCCAAATGGACCTCATACCACCATTTAAAGGCACCATGAACCTAAAAATATTGACAAAAAATGGAAGAAGACAGACACAGTGGCACATACCTATAGTCACAGCACTCTGGGAGGCTGAGGCAAGGGGAATGCAATGTCAAGCCCAGCCTGGGCAAACTGAAAATTAAATTTAAAAGGGACTGAGGATATAATTCAATGGGAAGGCCCTGGGTTCAATTTCCAGTACCATAAAGAAAAATTATAGAAAAGAACCTAGGCAATCCAATTTGTCTTTTATTTTTAATAAGCTCTACGTCGTTTGTATGTCTTCCCTCCCTATCATTGCTAGGAATCAAACCCCGAGCCTTCATAATTAGGTAAGTGTTCTCAAGCAATGAGCCATGCCCACACTTATGAATATTACGTCTCCTCTACCTCTCCATTATAAATTTTCTTGCCCCAATAAATATGGACTGTATCGTTTCTTACTTAAAAATATGTAGTCTTAGAAATAGTCTCAAACGAGGAAACAAATATTTCAAATTCTAAAAAAAAGTCTCACAATTTTGTGCCCCTTTAGTCCCTTAAGTATGTGTTTCCCTAATGTTGAACTACTCAGCAGTGAGATTTTCCACATAATGTAACCATAACCAATTCCCAACGAGCCAAGATAAAACTAATCTGTACAGTCCAGCAATGTTTTCCCTTCCCTCCACTACCATAAACAAGTCACTGTGTTAAAAGATATACTGTGGCTGGGGATGTAGCTCAGTGGCATAAGCACCTGCCTGGCAAGTGCAAGGGCATGAGTTTGATCCCTGGTACTAAAAAAAAAAAGATATACCGAATCATTACTTGTTCTCCTTAAACAGGTCTGCACTTTGATCAAACTATTAATATAGTAAGTAAAGTTACCTCTCTAATCTTTACTAATCATTAAAAACTATGCCTACAAATTATGGCAGTGAGAAATACTTTTTAAAAAATTAACATTATTGGTACACTTTTGGTATACATAAAAATCACATTCATTATAAGGAACTTGCACCTCTACATAACATATCTACATAGTTTTTTCTTCACCATCCCCTCTTCAACCCTTCTTCCCCTTATTTACAATAGTTTTGCTTTCATTTTTTTCTATTCTTTTTTCCTTTTCCCTTCCTTCTCTTCTCCTTCCCCCTCCCTTGTTACCCTTTCCATTTGAACATTTTCTTCCTACTTCCCAATATCTATCATCCATTTAAGCTTTCAGTTTCTTAGACAAGAGAAGCAATGCAGTATTTAAACGTGCGTCCAATACATCTCACTTAAAAGTATGGTCTCAAAGTGCGTACATTTACCTAAAATTGTCAAGTTTATCCTTCTTTATGGCAGAGTAGTACTCCATTGTATATAAAAAACATTTTCTTTACCCATTCATCAGATGATGGCCATCTGGGCTGTTTCCAAGATTTAGCTATTATAAATCGTGTTGCTATCAACATGGGTGTACGCCTGTCACTGTGGTATGATGTTTTTTAACTCTTTCAGGAAAATACCAAGGAGAACAGCTGAGTCAAATGGAACCTCTAGTTTCAGTTTTCTGAGGAATCTCCATACTGATTGACTGCACCAATTTACACTCCCACCAACAGGGGACAGGGTTTCTTTTTCCCCACAGCCTTGCCAGCATTTGTTACTGGTTGATTTCTTGGTAATAGTCATTCTTCCTTAAGTGAGATGGAATACATTTGGAGAATTCCCCAAAATATATCCCTGGGGAAAAAAAAGATCTTTGCTGTCATTAATAAGAGAGAAAGGTAAGGCTTAGTAGCTTACTTCAAGAAAGCTACTAATGAAGAGTCACTGCCTTATTTATTGCAAAACAGAAATATTTTATGGGTGTTTTATTTGTACAACAATTTAATTCAGCTCATCCACTAGAATGCAACTCACGAATGGCCAACAGAGTATTTCTGTTGGAGTCCTGATTTAAGTAAAACTGGCTTGTAGTTAAACGAGAAAAAAAAAAAAAAAAAAAAAAGAACATGAAATTATCACAACCACAAGGTTAGATGAACAAAAGTCCTCTAAAAAGTTGAGAAGTGACAAAATTGTAACACTGAAATGGTAGCATTATAAGAAAAATTATTCTTTCACAAAATGCCTATATTTCATAAGACAGGGCATTTTAAATCAGAAGTAAAAATTGCATAAAATGGATATAAAACATGCTAGGGCAAAATATGAAACACCACTCTTGCTTGAAGCCTCACTATAATATCAGTAATATTTTAAAAATTCGCAGAGGATCTTTCCTCTTGGATCTCTCTGGGCCCAAACCCGTGACAACACAGAACTATACTGGCATTAGCTAACTTTTAGAAAGTTACTCTTTTTTAGTTTTTCAATAGGCAAAAACTCAAAAATTCAAATTGAAGAGGTTAGAATAAACTCTTCTGTAGAGTACATCAATATTTTCAGACATAAACAAAATTTAGGAATTCACTCACCAAAATTTTATCTTATCATGGACCAAGACATGGAGACCTAACTTAAGTTAACGCAGATCTACTGCTTTCTAACTCTGGCTACACGGGAAATCTAGGGTGGAAACTAGATGTCCTTGAATTTCAACTCAGTCTCATTCACATTAGTAATTTCCCCTTAGAAATAATTATCACATAACTTCTATAGATCAAGAATCCAGAAGACCTTAAATCTGACACAATGTGCTGGCTTTCTATTTTTAATTACAATAAATTACCAGCCCCACCTTCCAACACCTGTTTAAATTACTTGAACTTTTGGGAGAGCGGCCAGAACAGGAATTAAATGTACATCTCCACAGCAGCGTGGCAAACAGGAGACATTAGCTAACTTCCCTCTCTCTTTTTTTCCTCACCTTTTCTGGCAGTGCTGGGGACTGACCCCAAGGGCATTCTCCCTTTGAGCTAGGTGACCACCCCTTATTTTTTGTTTTCAGAGGGGGTCGAAGTTGCCCAGGCTGTCCTCAAACTTGCCACCTTCCTGTCTCTGGCTCCCAAACAGCTGGGATTATATGTGCGCACCACCATGTCCAGCACTAACTGATATCTCCGATACACTTTAAAATAAACCTGGGGTACAACAAAAGGCCTATGGTTCAAGTCCGGCCCAAAAGTCTGAAAGCAAAAGCCACTGATTCAAGAAGGCATGGATTTGATCTAAGTTTTATAAAGGAGAAAGATGCACACTAGGCAAAATATGGAAAAAAGACTGTCATTCATTCTGGTGCATGCCTGCAATCACAGCTCCTCAGAAGCGTGAGGCAGGAGGATCACAAACTGGAGTCCAACTTGGGTAATTCAGTGAGACTCTATCTTTAAAATTTTTTGAAAAGGGCAGGAGATACAGCCCACTGGTGAGCACTCCGCATTTTGATCCCCAAATAACAACTCACTGGAAATTGCAATACCTGAATGGATGTATACCTTCGAAGTAACTTTATGATGTCTCCCATTAACTTCAGCTATTTTTTCAAACAGTCAATTTTCGGAAATTTTTTTTTTTAAAAATACTGTCTTCCTAAAGTAATTGTCTTCTCCATAAAAGAGGCTGAGTAAATTTGAAAAACATCTTATCTCTGAAAAAATCAGGAACAACTGTTCTATGGACTGTAAAGAAGCTGAATAGGAAACGGAAACAAAAACTAGGTGGGTATACTCATATTCCTGAAATATTAAAGTAGCTTGCTTTTGACATTTTGATGGTAGTAGAGCCAGAAAATAAACCCTGTTCTCGCAATCTTCGGAAAACAAGCTAATAAACTAACAAGCTCCAACGCTCAAGGCCAAGGGGGCTCCTTCTAGCATTATTCAGGTACATGCAGCTCAACTGCGAGGCAGACTGCTCGGTACCAGGGAAGAGCAGGTGCTTACGCCACTCACGTGAAAACCCTTCTCTCTCAGCTGTGCCCCCCCCAAAAAGCCCAAGAACAGTAGTTTTTTATTTTTTATTTTTCGTTTTCTTTTCCCGGTACCAGGAATCGAACTTACTACGTCGCGCTTGCCAGACAGGCGCTGTGCTGCTGAGCTAAATCCCCAGCCCCGAACAGAAGCTTTTTAAAAAGTCTACTTTCGAAAAGACTTTTTAAAGAAACAACTTTGTAGTTACTGTTTAACAAAGCTACCCTAAAATTAACCATCAAGATACTCAGTGAAGGTAATGAAAACATACCAGGTTTTTGGTATGTGTGCACTATATCATATTTTTAGAAATATTACTCCCCAAAAGTTTTTGCATTAAACCTTAAGCCAGCTGGACAAAAAATTAGTTTGAAATACAATTATATAAAATATATTCACAATTCTTGAAAACAGTCAAAAGAAAGAAACTGCACGCGATAAACAAGAGCGGGGAACAAAACAAAGCCGAACCGAGCGGCAGTGGAAGTTTAGCAAATGAGCCCTGAGAACCCCGGACTCGCAAACCTTGGGCGCTCCCTCACTACCGCACTGGACCTGGTCACTTCCTGCCACGGGCAGCCCTGGCGGCCACTCGCTCACACACCAGCGCTGCGCGCAGGGCGCACACGGAGGGGAAGGGCGAGCAGAAGCCTGCGGGGGCTCGGCCTCCCTCCCGGAGGCGCCCACGCCGGCAGCGGGGACGAGATCGCCCCGACAAGGGGGCTCCACGGGCTCCGCTCCCGACAGTTCCTCACCCCGCGCCTCCCCCCAGTCCGCTCCCGCTTCCACTCGCACCAAGAAGCAAAGCCAAGCTCGCCACAGGAAACCCTGCCCTGCCTGAGCTTCTCCACAGGCCCTCCGGGGACAGGCTCGGAGCCCCCCGCCCGCACCCCACTCCCACGGCCCGGACCAAGCGCCGCCCCGCGGCGGCCCCCACTCACCCATCAAAATACGCATCTGCTTCTTGCCGAACAGGCGGGAGAACAGCGAGGAGATGGTGAGGCCCATGGCGGCAGCGGCACTCGCGACGGGCACAAGAAGGGCTCCGCGCCGTCCCCGGGCCTTCGCCTCTTACGCTCCGAGAAAGAGGAGGGGGAGCGCCGCCGGGGAGAGCGGGCCGTCAGCACGACCCGCAGGCCGACGGGGTGCACAGCAGCGCAGACGGGACCTAGCCGGGCGGAGAACTGTTTGGCAGCTGGCGTGGCAGTGCACCGGCTCCGACTTTAAGGATCCGGGTGTGCCACGTCACTCAGCAGACAAGGCGACTCGGGCGGCAGCCCGACCCCTCCAACGCGGACAGAATCGCGTCACCACCGGCCCATCCCCCTGCACTTCCGGTGCTGCCAGAGCTACTGCGTCTGCGCAAATCGGGGATAGGCCACTTTCGCTAAAGGGCGAACAGCCCCCCCGCGCCTCCACCCTCCGGACGTGGCTCCCGGCACCTAGCGAGGACACAGGGCACATGCGTACTGGGAGACGAAGGCCCATGATGCATCGCATCGCTGAGTCCAATCAGCTTCCAGAAAAGACACTTCCACTCTGGTGAACGGTCATGGGAGTTGTAGTCTTTGTGCTTCCGGGCAGGCGGAGGACTGGTGCTGGTTAGGTAGTGGACTTACTTCTGCTCTTTGAGCGTCTTCCTGTTTCGTATTGAGCGCGATGGGAGTTCTAGAATCTCATACATGTAACGTTGCACGCACGCGAACAAACGCAAACCCTAAATGGAAAAGTGAGAATGGGTCCTCCCTTTCTGACAAATACTGTAGTTAAAAGACGCGCGAAGCCGGGCGTGGTGGCACTCGGCTGTACTCCTAGCACTGGGGCAGTTGAGGCAAGAGGATGCCACAAGTTGGAGGCCAGCCTGGGCTACATTGTGAATGTAAGGGTGACTTGAATTACAAAACGAGACCTTGTCTCAAAAAAAAAAAAAAAAAAGTACGTGCGTGAGGAGTAGGGTGTTAGGCTCCCTGGCCTGGTCATACTGAAGATCTCTGATCGTGTGTTAAGACAGGAGAGCTCTGAGACAGCACACCAGGAATCTCAGCCCCCTGAGAGGCTAAGACGGGAGAAGACTAAGTTCGATTGTATCTTTTAAAAAAAGAGAGTGGGCGATGTATCCCAGTGCAAAGGGTTCAATCCCGTGTAAGAGGCTGACAGGGCCAGGGAGGAGGGGTGGGGACCAACAGGAAACCTCGCTTTCTTGATTAACCCTTTTTCCTCCTAGAAGCTTTTTCGATGTATTCCTCAGGTTCAGAGAGAAAGCTTCCTCACTTTGACCTTATTTTCCCAATTACAAAATGAGGCATAAGGGCTGGGGATTTAGCTCAGCGGCACAGTGCCTGATCGGCAAGCCTAAAGTGAGTTCGATCCCCGGTACCGGAAAAAACAAACAAACAAAGAGGCATACATGTTGTAGAATGATTTTTTAAAAGGTTAGTTTCCCACTAATTTCACCACCTTTCAAGTTATTTCCTCCACTGGGGCTGAAGTTTAGCATCCCCAAGTCCCAGCCTTAACGCTAGTCATGCCTTCTTCACCCATGCACCCTTTAGTATGATGTTATAGTATTTTCCCTTGAAACGTACATTTGTGACCTAGCCAAATAGAGCTATTGAACAGGCTTAAAGCATCATAACCTCTCTTCATAGTTACGATTTCATATTTAATGTTGTTACGGACAACCTCCCCCATACAGTTGTCTCAAAGTTCTAGAAAGGCAGAACTAGTCAGTTTTTAAATTTTATTGTGTTCCCTAGGTTTGGCACACTAAGAATAAACGTGGTTGAGTGAGTAGAAGATGGCCAAACTATGGTATAACCATACTGAGGAATACAGTCAGGAGTTAGACCTAGAACTATATACAGTATTCTAATGAAAAGCTCTCCAGAGTACTGTTAGTTGGGAGGGGATAATATAAATAATATAAAAATACACATTCTTTCCCCTTGCGTGTTTGAGAGAATATAAAACAAAACATTTAAGTAGACTCCATTTGCAGTAGTAGGTAGTATTTACCTGATAAAACTGCTAGGAGTGCAAAAGAATCTTCAAAAGGAGTGAAGGAAATGGTTTGTGGAGTAGTAGTCAAAGGAAGCTTATTGGTACTTCTAAAAACCTGCCATACTGAAATACAATTTACTGCAATGACATTAACCAATTTTAACTGTACACTTAATTTTAACAAATGTATTTAGTAATCATTATCATAATTACATCAAACATCTCTGTTATCCCAGGAAGTTCCCTTGCTCTCTCCTTTGCAGTGATGCTTTCTTCACAGCTAGCCCCTGGCCAACCACTGATGTGCTGTCACTATAGTTTCTGTCAGTTTGGTGCAGTGGCAGCGTGCCTGTAAATCCAGGACTCAGAAGGTTGAGATAGAAGGATCCTTGCAAGGACAACCTTGAGTACATAGTAGTTCAAGGCCAGCCTAAACTACATAGCGAGACCCAGTCTCAAAACACACACACACACACACACACACACACACACACGCACGTACACATGCACGCACACAGGAAAAAAAAAGCTATAGTTTTCTCTTCATTTAAATGGAAGCACAGTCAGTCGTGGTGGCGCACGCCTGTAATCCCAGCACCTGGGAGGCTGAGGCAGGAGGATTCTTGCAAGTTCGAGACCAGCCTGGGCTACAAAGTGAGCTCAAGGCCTGCCTGAACTTTATAGCAAGACCCTGCCTCAAAAAGACTAAATAAGTAAAGTAAATGGAAGCACATAAACCTGGGCATGGTGGTATATGGTTATAATCCCATTTGGGAAACTGAGGGAGAAAGATCAGTGAATTTGAAGCCAGCTTGGACAACACAGTGACTTCAAGGCCATCCTGAACTACACATAGCAAGACCCTATCTCAAAAACCAAAAACAAAGAAAAACATCATACCACAATGATATATGTGCACCCATGTTTGTAGCAGCATTATTTTTAATAGCTAAATCCCGGAAACCCAAATGCTGATCAACTGAGGGCAGTATTTTTATACAATGGAATACTACTCAACCATAAAGAAGGATAAACTTGAGACTTTTATAGGTAAATGGATGCAACTTGAGACCATACTCAGTAGAGAAATCAGACTCACAGGTGTAAACATTATATTGTCTCCCTGGTATGAGAGATGGAAAGTAAATAAGGTCTAAAATGTACAATAGATGTTGTGAAATGGGAAGAAACTGTTAAAGAGGATAAAGGAACTAGGATGGGGGGAAAGGGGAAGGACAGTGAGGAAAAGGGAGAAAAAATGCAAGTCAGGTATACTATTAGTGAAGCTTTGCACTAATATCATTTGGAGGGTTTTTGCCCATATCTAGTACTCTGAAGAACTACTTTAAAGATAATAATATGCACTGTATTAACTATTGTTATTCTCCTATAATCTTATGAAATTTTCTTTTCCATAAAATTAATAAAAAATGAAAAAGAAATATATAGAACATAATTTTTTGTGCTTGACTTCTTCTAGCATGATTTTGAGATTTGTCTATGGTAGTGCATGCATCAGTTTTCTTTTTAACTGTATTATTCCACTGTATAGATACACCATATTTCTTTAGCGATTCACCAGTAAGGTGCCAATAGTGGACTTTTTGGTTGTTCATTTAGTTTTGGGCTCTTATCAATAAAGCTGTTATGAACATTTAAGAATGTGTTTTGTGTATTAAGATGAACTTGTGTATCATTTACATAATTAAAAAAACCTTTTAGAGTGGGTGAATGAATTAAGTATAGTTTAACATATATTTTTCCAGATTTTTCTCGTTGAAAAGGTACCATTCCTATGTGAGAAAAGAATCACCATTCAAACAGTGAAGAAGGAAAGCACAGAAGAGTATGGAAGTGTGAGGGGTGACAGGCATGATCACTATCTTGGCTATGACAAATGTACACTCAACTTTCAAAACTTAAGCAACTATACACTTTAAATGTGTTATTTTATTTCTATTATACCGCAATAAAGCTGTTTTGTTTGTCTGTCTGTTTTACTGTTTGAGACAGGATCTCACTATGTAGTTCAGGTTGGCGTGAACTCACAAAGATCTGCTTGCTCTTGGCCTCCTCAGGGCTGGGATTACAGGCATGCACCACCATACCCAGCCATTATCTGTTTTTGGAGAACTACTATTAAAATGCTAGCACTTGTTTTTTTTTCCCCAAGCTAGGCTGAAAAGGAAAAAGTAAAATCCAGAAAAAGTAAAATCCAGGTCTCAAACTTATGTGTAAAAGCAAGTAAATTAAGTTATATACAAATGAAAACAAAAAGACCAATTTTAATGGCATTTCTGATGACCTTTTACAAGGTAAAGAGAAAAGCCTTAAAATGAGACCTATCCTGTTGACACATTCATCTTGGATTTCTCATCTCCTGAGTTATGAGAAAATAAAACTTAGCCATAAAAAGTGGCATCTCAAGTATACTGAAATATTTCACAGTGTACCTTGAAACATATATATATATATTTTTTTTTTTTATTATTTTTTTTTCTTTTTGAGACAGGGTCTTGCTATGCAGTTCTGGCTGGCTTTGGGCTCACTTTGTAGACCAGGCTAGCCTCGAACTTGCAACAATCCTCTTGCCTCAGCCTCCCAAGTGCTGAGATTACAGGCATGCGCCCTTGAAATGTATTATTCAGTAATTTCAAAGAGGAGTAACACCCAATATATTTTTTTTGTTTTGTTTTGTTTTTCTGGTACCGGATATCGAACTCATGACCTTGCGCTTGCCAGGCAGGTACTGTGCCACTGAGCTAAATCCCCAGCCCCTACCCAATATATTTTTAACAAACCAGTTAAAACCCAAACAATATAATTTACTTGCAATCTTTGAGATTTTTTTCTTTTAGGGGGGAAATTGGGGCAAAGCTCTACATTGAACTATATTATAATTGCTACTTTTAAAAAGGAGAGGAAGAACAAAATGTGAAATTTCAAGTTTAAAAAAAGAAAAGTACCAAATAAATGAAAATATAAAAGCACAGAGACGGAATCAGAAATGATGCAAACCCCGGGGACGCGGATGGGCCTCTGGCTGAGATCCTTGAACTGAGACGGACTGGAAGCCTTGGAGCTCTCCGCTGGGGAGCATGGTTGGCGACAGCTCTGTGATTCCAGAGGAGCTGGAGGATGCACCAATTCTTAGTGCAGCGTGCCTTGCTGTGATGGGGTAAGTGGGGGAAATCGGGAATGCACTTTTGAAGGTCCTGAGAAAAGACATGTGGATCTTGGAAGATTAACTGTTTGAAATATGCAGGAAAGGAATAAAACAGAAAGGTGTTTTTCTTAGAGAACATTATTTGTCAGATTTATTTGATCAAGAACTTGAAGATTATTAAGTTACCACCTAAAATGTTTGCATCAGAAGACAATACTGGGGCTGGGGCCTTAGCTCAGCAGCACAGCGCCTGCCTGGCAAGTGTAAGGTCCTGAGCTCGATTCCCGGAACCAGAAAAAAACCAAAACAAACAAACAAAGAAGGAACACATCTGCCATTGACAAAAGACAATACTGATGGGAATTATTGATTAATGAAGTGAAGTCATAGTGACCCTGAAGATGATTTTTCAGAATCACTGAACAATGAATTTCATCCTGAGAACGGAGATTTCATGCCATTCAGATAATTTGTTAAGGTTAATTTGGAAAATCCAATGCCAACTCTTTATATTCACCAATACACCTAGTGTAAATTGGCCATTTAGACAGGATACAGAGCCAGATATTGTACATTACTTTGAATATTTCTGCAATTCTAAAATAATGGAGTTGATTAGAATGGAAACTGAAATATACAAATTAATCAAAGCCTTCTGGAATTTTAGGGAAATTTTCACATTGGAAGGCTGTTAAAAAAAAAAAAAAAAGAAAGAAAATGTAACAATACCTAGATAATACATTTAAAAGTATATTTTTTGATGGGGTCTCATGTTGGTTGCCCAGGTCTCAAACTCATGGGCTCAAGCAACTCTCCCACCTCAGCCTAAGTAGGGGAGACTAGTCATGTGCAGATGGTTCCTGGCTAAAATATTTCTATCAGAATTTCATAAAATCAATGCACTATTAGAAAGTATATATAGCCGGGCGTGGTAGCACATGCCTGTAATCTCAGCACTTGGGAGGCTGGGGCAGGAGGATCAGGATCGTTGCGAGTTCAAGGCCAGCCTGGGCTACAAAGTGAGCTCAAGGCCAGCCTGAATTGCACAGACCCTGTCTCAAAAATAAATAAATAAATAAATATATATATATATATATATATATATATATAAATCTCTTAATCTTTTATTAAATTGGATTATTCACATGTTTGAAATACACAGAAAAAGATTTTCATTTGAATTAAAAAAACAAGTCTGTCAGGGCTGGGTCTGGTGTGTCAGGCCTGTAATCCCAACAATCTGAGTGAGACTCTAAGGCAGAAGAGTCACAAATTCAAGTCCATGTAGTGTACCTCGTTGGTCTCTCATTGTACCCCGGAGAGAAACGGCGGTGGGTATGAGAAAAACAAAGACAAGAGACAAGAGCTGGGTTCAGGTGGGGTTACCTCTTGCCTGATGAGCAGGAGGACCAACTTAAATAGTAGGGGCGTTTATTTTATAGACTTGCAAAGTTGGTATCATGGGAGAGTAACGTTGCCTAGTGACTAACCACTGTAATTGTCCAGCAGGATGCCTTTTCAATACTGAGGTAGCTTGACTGCTTGACCAATAACCAGCTCCAGTGGCTCCCAACAAGTCCAGTCTAGACTTACTGACTCTACAAGACCCTGTCTGAAAATAAAAAGTAAAATGGGCTGGGGATGTAGTTCAATGCAAAGGGCATGGGCTCAATCCTGAGTACCTTTAAAAAAAAAACAACAAAAAAACCCTCAGGAAATAAAAGGAATCTCGTTTCATTAACCATATCCCTCCCAGCATTCCAAACTCACTCAGAAATAACACAGAATATGCAGATGCTTTACAATTTAAGGGTTTTAATTCAGTTTCTGGTAATGACCATAAAGCCTCCATGAAGACTCTTTTTCACTGTAAATAGAGGGTACTAGCCATTACATACCATGCTTAAAGCAGTGATTCCTCCTAATGCTGGTGGAGATAACACATTAAATGGCAGTTTAGATGGTAACAAAGTCTTCTTTAAAAAAAAAAGACTACTCTGAAAATCATACACAAAAATTAAGTTACCAGTTAGTCTTTCTCAGATTTCCAATGTAACTTGAAGTTATTCTTACAAGTACATAATTTGAAATTAAGGTAAACTGGATGAGTATGATATGTTTTTCAACATGTGTTAAGTTTCAGTTTAATACAGTTACTATGAAAATACCATTATCATGCTAATGGGTATCTTTGCTACTGTTTACGTGTGCAAAATAAACTTGAAATGATACATCCTGTAGTGGTACAATTTTTAAAAGATACTTGATATGACACTACCAATTTTCAAATTCTGGTCACAAACTGTATATAAATTGTAAGATTATTAAAATACAACTTTTTGAAAAATAATGAGATGACCATTTATATCTAAATAAAGTTTCCTAGAAAGTTATGAAATACTTCAGCATATAAAAGTAGTCATCCCTTTTCTGAAGGGACAACTGTTGTTTCACAAAATAACCTATATGATCCATGGCAAATGATTTCTTCCAAGTGCCATATTCTCTCTGTGACTTAGAAGTACCCTTCAAGAGGCTGAACCCACACAAAAAGGGCACATCTGTGCATCAGACCGCAGTTACAAACGCAAGGAACCTTCCCGGGTCAGAAATGCCCTTGAGTTAACAGTCAGAGAGAGAACAACAGACAGCTTCTGGAGCCATTTCTTTCACAAACGCATACAACTACATTTGGTTGTGTAGAAGACAAGACACAACTATTTACTTATGTGCTACATTGTGTGTGCCTATTTTAAATACTGGCTTCTGTAGGACAGTCCCATTCAAACAGAAATCAAACAATCTTACTATACCAAATCACATTCTTCTATTTTTGGTAAGGTAGTATAAACAAAAGATTAAAAAAAATAGAACTAATGATTTAGGCAGAAGTTCCCATGTCAAACAACAATAAGTGTTCTGAGAAAGCTGGGTGTGGTGGCACATGACTGTAATCCCAGCACTCAGGAGGCTGAGGCAGAAGGATCACCATAAATTTGAGGCCAGCCTGGGTTCCACAGTGAGTTCAAGGCTAGCCTGAGCTACATAGCAGAGATCTTGTCTCAAAAAACCCAAACAAACAAACAAAAAAGTGTTCTGAGAAACATGAATTTTGGGGAAATAACACTGATCAACAAATAATATGGGAAATCTATTCTATAATCACTCAAACAACTATCACATATAAGGCTTATGGATATCTTTGAAATAATAGCTCCATTTAAAAACAGCTGATTGCCGGGTGCGGTGGTGCAGGCCTGTAATCCCAGCACTCAGGAGGCTAAGGCAGGAGGATCGTTGTGAGTTCAAGAACAGCCTGGGCTACAAAGTGAGCTCAAGGCCAGCCTGAACTGCATAGCGAGACCCTGTCTCAAAAGGACAAAAAATAAAATAAAATAAAACCAGCTGATTTTGAAGTTCATAATTAGAATGCCTTCATTTTAATTAGCTTACACAGGCCCAATTAGTAAAAGGTAAAAGAAAATAAACATACATAATTAACACAGATGCTTTCTTGACTTTGGAGAAACCAAAATTTTGAAAATGGTAAAGGAAACAGTGAAACAAAAATCTGAACATAGTGAGACTCTGTCTCAAACAAACGACCAAAAAAATCTGTGTGACAAATGAAAAAACTACCATGTCTACTAATAAACAAGATGGAAAGCAAGAGAAGTATTTTTAAGCAGTGATGATTCAATAGAATGCCTTATAAAATTACATACCAAAATCAGGCTAAACAAAGCTTCAAAACTAGCAGCTGGACTCTGAAACATGTAGGACAACAGAAGGCACTGCATAAGCGTCAATTACCTCTAACTGCAGTTGGGCAGTTCAGTCTTTTCCTTCCTAAGATGGCCAGTGTGAACATTAGTTTTTATATCCCCCTGAGTTTTATTATGATCGGGCAAAGCAGCACCAATTTAAAAAAATACCTGCAATGCCAGCACTGCAGTATGGAATCGCTTATACTGATGGCCCCATAGGTCTCTCATAAGAGCACTTTAGAACATGATTAAAAATACAGAAATGCCTTTCGGTGTTTCAGTATTAAAGTGGAACCCCCACAAATACCCATTTTTAAAAATAATGCACTAAAATGTCTATTTATACAATGCAGTCTTCCTGCCCTGTATCTAGCATTCGTTGCTATTTTCCACGCTGCTGCCACCAAGAGATCTCCTCTGGGTGTCTGCTCAAACGTCAGCACGCTTCATGATGCACAATACTTCTTGGCTGGAAAATCCTGGGAAATATCATGTCATGCCTGTTTTGAGCAGTATGCTTTGAAGATCCTCTGGCAAGGCCAAGATAATTGCATCTATATGTGTCCGTAACTTTTCCATAGTGTCAGGTTTCACAGGTAAATGCTCTCGATCAGCCTGCAACTATACAAGGAACATTTGGCAGCATTTAAATGAACCTATATTTATATATTATACTCTCTAGATAAACAATTTTAATAGTTTAACAACTAGGAAATTTTAGTGTTAGACTAATTTATAGAAACAAAAAAATTGAAGAACATGCTGTTTAAATACACTGATAAGATCAATAAAAGCATTTTATATAAATTTGTAGATAATATATAGTATTAAATATTAGTGACATTTTCGTAGAGTTCATTAGACTCCATGTAAATATCTCTAGAATAATACTGCATCATGATGATCTGCCTGAGTGACCTCTGATTTATTTATTTATTTATTTATTTAGGGTTTTTTTATGGTATGGGGAATCAAACTCATGACCTCGCGCTTGCCAGGCAGGCGCTGTGCTGCTGAGCTAAATCCCCAGCCCCTACCTCTGAGTTAAAAAGTTACTTCTGGGACATAGCGTGGATTTTCAGTTCAAGTAGGAGGAAAGTATCTTCACAGAAAGGTCAGTTTGATCTTCACCTGATTTGGCTACATACCAGCTTATTTTTCAGCTTCAGTACAAGGTCTACCGTTTCTACTTCTGTGTGTTTCTGGATCCACAGAAGTAGGTCCTAGACAACAGACAAAAATCCAAATCGGCAGTTACTCAAAATGATATTTATACCTCTGTTTCAATAATGGGAAAGGAGGCAAGGGTAATGGGAAAGGAGGACAAAAAGGGAAAGGAGAACAGGGTAGTTAACTCAGACATAGAATTACAGTAAAAGAAAACTTTTCAGACTATCCTAGAAATTCTCAATTAGCTAACATTCAGAATTAGCCAGAATAAGTATCTAATACTTGGAAGTAAAGCAAAATGTAAGAAAAGTCCTTTCTGAGGTAGCCCTTTTAGGTAAAGAAAGAGAAAAAAATGTAGCTCAATGCAATAATAACCTGTACCAACACAGTAATGAGTAATTTATCAGGACAATTACCTAACAAATCAAGATGACTAAACATGAATGCATTATAGAGTGTAAACTTTGCATCTCCAAATAAGCTTTTTTTTTTTTTTTGGTTTTTTTCCAGGACTGGGAATCGAACTCATGACCTCGCACTTGCCAGGCAGGCGCTGTGCCGCTGAGCTAAATCCCCAGCCCCTCCAAATAAGCTCTTCTTGGACTTACTTCATGGTTGCCTTAGTTGTATTCTTTTTCTGAAAGCCACAGTAACTGGAAGTTTATTATTAGAAACAACATTGACAGTAACTCACCTCAGATTTAAAGCTAAATAAAAATAAGAAGACTCTCCTTTATATTTTCACATGCAGTTTAAAATAGGCTGATTACAAATTATAGACTATGAAAAGTCAGTCCGAGCACATGAAAATAAAGTTGATACTAACTGCAAAAGGTAAGTCATAATGTATAAGAGCTGGAGTTACACTGCTGGGATTTGAATCCTGATTCTCTCCAGTGGAGTGCTAGTAAATATTTAACAACCATTCCTCAGAAAAAAGTCTCTAGCTCATGACACTGGCCAGCTTCTATGGTGCAACACTCCCACTGTGGGTGAGGCCAAGCTACCAACCTGAGGTAACTGAAGGCAGAACTGGGAGAAGGTAGCACCATTAGCTCTCCTGGTGCATTTGGTACACTTCTCGCTCACCACTTAGCAGTGATGTGAACTGAGGCAGGTCACCCACCTTCTAAGCCACAGCTGTTGCATAATGCCGATCATACATGCTTGCCTCAGTGAACTGTGAAGATTTATAATAAGAGTGTCTGTATGAAGCGCCTATACACTCCCTGGTATGACACGTGATCTAGACAAATTAGCTACTCTTACTAAGTACAAAGAAGTAGATGTGGGTATTATCTTCAACCTCTAAGCAATACTTTTACTTTCAACAGCTGTTAGTCATCACACAGACACACTGTTTTCTTACCTCTTCACAAAGAGCTTCTAGATGCAGGGCCTCCAATTTTTGGGTCATTTCTTTCCGCCGGGTTTTGAACCAACCATCAAAATTTGGAGACTTCAGAAAATGCCTATAAAAATAAATTTTAAAAGAGCAAAGTTTGACTATACTTTATTTCCCCTCAATACCTTTCTTACTGATAACTCTGAAAACCATGATAAGTAATAGAATTCTAAGAGTCTAAGGCTTTTAAGGCTACTATTCTTTTTAAATAAACATCCACGGATGAGGGGAAGGAAGGCCAAGACTAACCGGTAAAGTCCAATCCAATCGCCTTTTATTCTAGAGGTCAGCTGAGGTCCCGTTTTTTCAAGTGTTCTCATAAATTCTTCTGGAAGGAACTGTCTTAACTGGGGCGGGCTCTAAAGGACAACATGTACTATACTTACAAACTAGAAGTGTACAGTATGTGTTCAAAGAAGATAACTGCAGGTACACAGTTCAAATAGGAATTTATTGGAATATTTATACCTTCCACGGAGAAATAGTTTTCTGCAAAGGCATCAAGCTTGCCACGTATCTTTCCTAAAAACAGGAGAAAAAGTCAATAAAAGTTAGGTGCTCTTACTTATACAGTCTACAACAGAGATCTTAAAACTCTTTTTCAAGATTGGTCACAGTAACTCTAATCTCCCCCACTTCTGTCTGGGAGCTAATGACAATAAACAAAATCTCTGATCTACCTGTTCTCATAGAAGGCAAGACCCCACTTCAGAAGGGTTCTGGTTAATACCTGTGAGGAAGGGATGCTGAAGAATCTAGAGAGAACTACTGATGTTCCCTACCCGGTCTATTAATATTAGGTCATAACCTCTTCATACAATCACATTCGGAGACACTTACCCATGCTTTAAGCATGACTATTCAATGAATTCTCCATACACCCAAAACACAAGCCAAAGGTTGTGAGGCATGCCTGTAATCTCAGCACTTAGGAGGCTGAGGTTGAAGGATCACAAATTCAAACCCAGACTAACGATGTACTGACTTAGCAAGAGCCTTCTCAAAAAGAAAAAAAAAAGCCTGTGACTGGGCATGGTGGCACACACCTGTAACTCTAGTACTCAGGAGGTTGAGGCAAGAGGAGTGCTGTGAGTTCGAGGCTAGCCTGGACAACATAGTGAGCTTTTTGTTTGTTTTTTTTAACATAGTTAGTTCAAGGGCGGTGTGAACTACATAGCAAGACCCTGTCTCAAATAAATAAGTAAATAAATAAAAATATAAAAAAGGCTGGGGGTATAGCTCTGTGTGAAGGCCCTGGTTTCAATTCCTAGCATGACAATAAAGAAAAAAGAAGGGTTTGCAGAGTTTCTGTGTAGCTGAAGTTCCTGGAGGGTAGTGACTGCCCTCCCTTCCTGTGTCTTGCTTTATACATCTCTGTCTGTATCCTCTGTAATACTTTTTATAATAAACCTGTACCTGTTAAGTGTGTCCCTGAATTCTGTGAGCCACTCAAGCAAATTTATCGAACCCCTAAGAGAGGATTTGGGAGCCCCAATTTATAGTCAGTCAGAAGCACAGGTAAAACTCAGGGTTGATGACTGGTATCTAACGGAGGGGGATATCGTGGGAGTTGAACCCTCAACCTCTGAAATCTGTTCCATCTCCAGATAGTATCAGAATGGAATTAGAGGACACCCAGCTGGTGTGTGCTGCTGCATGACTGACTATCTGCCTCCTGGTGGGGAAAAAAATCCCTCTACCTCTTGGGAGTCACAGAAGTGGTCTATGTAGGAAGCATGTGGTAGAGGAAATTGACTCTGAGTTTTGCTAAATTCACCATATTTTCATCATATATGCTTTTCATGGAATCAACATCCCTTTCACTCTCCATAATCTAGAGAGCTAAATTTAGATTAAGTTGGGAAGTCACATTTTCAACAAAAATGTAACTAAATCTCAGACAATCCAATAATACTTTTGTTTTGTATTTTGCTGTTTGAGGCAGGGTCTCGGTTTGTTCCCCCAGGTGGTCTCAAACTCGTGGGCTCTGGGATCCTCTCACCTCAGCCTCTCAAGTAGCTGGCACGATAGGTCTGTGTCACCACGCTTGGCTCAGATTGTTAATGATAATAATTAACCTTACTGCGTTCCAGAAAGTGTACCTAACAGTTATATGCATGAGCCCCTGTAATCCTTGCAACTATCCTATGTGGTGGGTATTACTGGGAAACTAAAATTTCAAAAGGCTAAATAACCTGACTGAAATAACCTATCTTAGACAACAATTTGTGTTTATATGAACTTAGTCTATACTCTTATTAAACACTAAAGTTAATTTACTTAAATACACTATTTTCCCCTATAGTGGTTGGCATTGAACTCTGAGCCTCACAAAAACTAGACAGTTGCTTTACTGCTGAGTTATAACCCCTAGTTTGACACATAGGTTTAAAATGGAACAAACTTAACTGACATTCTCAGACCAAGAAAGAATATTTCTCCCCAAAATGAACAGCAAAGACCTTCACGTTGTCCCCACAGGATGTTCACAGGTAAATTATATTACTAACTATATGAAGTCTATGACTCAGTTTCCAGATTCAGGTTACTATATCATGGTGTCATTCACTTGTTTATATGCATTTCTGAGTCCCTTAGAGTAACCATCTCATGTAGTCATCCACAAATATTTTGTTGATGTGTTTCAAGCCCTAAAAGAAAACAACTTCTAACCCAGACTGATATATCCTAAAAAACTATCTTTGTGGAAAATAAGGTATTTCCATGACAAAGAACAACTAAAGAAATTCATGACCATCAAATCAACACTAAGAAAAATTCTCAAGTATATCCTGAAAAGAGACAATGAAACCAACAATGCCAAAAGAAGTCTATTAGAATGAATATACTAGGCAGAATGAGAAGTTAAGCAAAAGGAGAAGTGGCGTCAGCAATAGGAAAATAATGCAATGGCAGGAATAAGGCAGTACCTTCCAGTCATAACTTTCAAGGTGAATCATCTCAGTTCCCCAATCAAAAGATAATGCTTGTCAAATGGATCAAAAAAACAAAATCCAAAAGTATGCTGTATACAAGAAACACATGTCCAGCATTTGGGAAGCTGAGGCAGGAGGGTCATCACAAGTTTAAGACCAACCGGGGCTAGCAATTTAGCTCAGTGGAACAGTGCCTGCCTAGCAAATGCAAGGTCGTGAGTTCAATTCCTGGTACCAGGAAAAAAAAAAAAAAAGACCAACCTGCCTACATAGTGAGTTCGAGGCCAGTCTGAACTACATAGCAAGACCCTGTCTCAAAAAAATAAAAAAAAAAAAGGAAAGAAATACATGTGATCCAAAAACAAATTCACAAACTAAAAAGGACTGGGGCTGTAGCTCAGGGGTAGAGCACTTGCCTTATGTATACAAGACCCTGAGTTCAATCCCTGATACCACAAAAAAAAAAAAGAAAAAAAGAAAAAGGAAAAAAAAATTAAAAGCAAGAAAACAATATTCCATACAACAGAATACCTGAACAAGCAGAAGTAACTGTCTAACTTCAGACAAAGTAGACTTCAAGCCAAACCAACCAGAAGAGGCAAAGAAGGTCATCACATTTGCTTAAAGGAGCAATTCAAAAAGAAGCAATAACAATTACCAACATGCACACACCTAATAATGGCACACACAATTTCATAAAACAAACATAACTGGACATAAAAAATCAGATAGGGCCAGGGATATAGCTCAGCAGCAAAAGTGCCTGCCTGGCACGCACAAGATCTTGAGTTTGATTCCTGGTACCCACCCAAAAAAATCAGACATCAACACAACATCAACACAGTTATAGTGGGAGACCTCAATACCTCATTATCACAAGTAAAGAGATCAACCAGACAAAAAAGTCAACAAAGAAATATCAGAGTTGAACTAAACCCATGAACCAATGGACTCAACTGATATCCAGTGTTCAAAATATCAACAGCATTCCTCTCAAAACTGGAGAAAACAATCTTAAAATCGGTATGGAACCACAAAAGACCTAAAAGAGCAAAACCAATCCTGGACAAGAGTAAAGCAGAAGGCATCACAATCCCAGACTTTTATGTTATACAGTGATAAAAACAGCATGGTATTGGCACAAATATAGACATGTGGCTCAAAGGAATGGAATAAAGGATGCAGAAAAAAACTATAGGCACATTCATCCATTTCATCTTTGATAAAGGGGTCAAAAGTATTTGCTGGAGGAAAAGACAGCCTCTTTAACAAATGGTGCTGGGAAAAACTGGCTATCCACATGCTGAAGACTGCACCTAGACCTCTATCTCTCATGCACTAAACTAAAATCAAAATAGATTAAAGACCTATATATTAAAACAGAAACAATCATCTGCAAGACTAAACAGGTAAAACTCTTTTTTCTATTTCTTTTCGGTTTTTTGAGACGGTCTCACTCTGTCGTCCAGGCTAGCCTTGAACTCACTATGTATCAGCGATCTTCCTGCCTCAGCCTCCCGAGTGCTGGAATTACAGGTATGCACCATCACACTCAGCTGTAAAACTCTTGAAGGCACAAGCACAGATAAAGACTACATGAACAGAACCCCAATTGCACAAGAAACATCAAGAGAGCCACATGTGGTAGCACACACACCTGCAATTGCACCACATGGAAGGCTGAGGCAGTAAGATTACTGTGAGTTCAAGGCCAGCCTGAATTACAGAGTGAGGCCCTGTCTCAAAAAAGCCCTAAAGAACAAAAAACAAAGAAAATAACATCAAGAATCAACAAATGGGATCATAGCAAATTAAAAAGCTACCACACAGCAAAGGAAGCAAAGAGATACCCAACAAAATGGAAAAAAATTTTGCCAGAATGGAAAAAAAAAATGAGACAAAGGACTAATATCTAGAATACATAAAGGCCTCAAACAATTAGATTTCCCCAAAATAAAAGACCCAATCAAGTAGTAGACACCTGAAATGAACAGACACTTTTCAAAAGTACAAATGACTAATATGTGAAAAAATGCTCCACATTTCTGGGCATTAGAAAAATGCAAATTAAAACAACACTGAGATTCCATCTTATCCCAGAAAAAATGGCTGTCATCAAGAAGTCAAATAATAACAAATGCCAGAGAGGCTGTGGGGAAAAAGAAACCCTTGAACATTGTGGTGGGAATGTAAAGTAGTATAACCATTATAGAAATCAGTACGAAGATTCTTCAAAAACCTATCCCAGCTATTCCACTTCAAGGTATCTTCCCAGAAGAGTTAAAGACATCATATCACATGTATGTCCATGTGTACAGCAGCAAAATTCACAACAGCTACATCTTGAAAGTGGCCCATATGTCTATTACAGATGAATAGATAAAGAAAACATGGTGTTTATACACAATAGAGCTGGGCATGGTGGCGCAGACTTGTAATCTCACCACTTGGGAGGCTGAGACAGGAGGACTGTTGTGAGTTTGAGCCAAGCCTAGGCTACAAAGTGAGCTCAAAGCCAGCCTGAACTGCATAGCGAGACTCTGTCTCAAAAAGACAAAAAAAAAAAGACAATAGAGTACTATTCTGCCATAAAGAAGGAGAAATGAGTCATTTATAGGAAAACAGACTCACCTTAATCCCATAGTAAAATAAATCAGACACACAACCTTAAATATATGGTTTCTCTTACTTGAGAAACCCCAAAATACAACTAAAGAGCAAAATAAAAGATAGATAGTAGGAAATAGGGAGATAGATCTTTTGCAAAAGGGAAGGGGACAAACACATGAAGGGTGGGGAGTCAGGGGAGAGAGGGGACGAAAAGAAAGATGTGTCATGTACATGCACCCGCTTGTACCAGCAAGGAGCCACATATATGTGGCCACAAAAAGTTGAGGTTTGGATCCACACCAACAGAGAAGAGCCACAGCATGATCTTATACAGATGAAAGTAAGTTTACTGTAGAAGTGCAGCAGACATGAGCACAGTCCAACAATACATCATTACCACACAACGAGGCAGGGGCCAGCACTAACGGTGAAAGAGAATCTTCGGAGCCTTCGGCAGCGACAGAGAGAAAATGTCCACACTGTACTCAGTTTGTTTGTTTCTTAATTGTTTGGTTTTTTTTTGTTGTTGTTGTTTTTTGTTTTTTCTCCTGTACCGGGAACCGAACTCACAACCTTGCGCTTGCCAGGCAGGCGCTTTTGCCGCTGAGCTAAATCCCCAGCCCCCTGTTTGTTTCTTAAGTACTATGTTCAGACAAAAGTGGCTTGGTGCCAACAGGCCTGCAGATCTTAGAGCAGTGTGTCGGGCCTCACTAAAACCAGACAGCCTCACAGCACGTTCAAGGCTATCTGTACACACGTTTCTGTCCTAGGGGAAAGGCCAGCTTCTCTGCAGAAAGGCAGCAGCCAAGGTCATTTCCGCAAACACTTGCATTTCACCAGCTCTCATCACTTTTAACCCTTCCTCTGACCCGACTCCCCATAAGGAAAGTAATCACTATGTACTGCAAGTGCATACTAATAAAAAATTGAAAAACAGTTTATGTGCCACTGTCACCCAAACAGAGGAAATGATACTGGGCAAGACAGGTAAGAGTTCCTGTTACAACGGAGCTATAATCTCATGGATATGTGAATCTGTGCTCTAGAAGACAATTACCAGAGAAACAAATTCCACAGTAACCCTCTCCTAAGGTGCAAAACTCAGTAATGACATATTTCCCATCAGTTTGGCTGAGTGCACAGGCTTCCCTCCTGGACAGACCTGCATGAAGATACACAGAACAGCTGCAGTCCCTCACCAACCATGACCAGGCGGCCAGTCATCCCCAGCCCACGCCACCGAGCAGTCCGCAAATGCAGAAGAACCTACACGGCTCCTGGGGAGAATTACACTCGAGCAACAACGGGAACAGGAACCGCGTTCCAGCCTCAGCCCCACTTACACCAGTGACGTGGAAAAACACTGCGGTGCCCAGCACGAACGTGGACGCAGCAGCTGCAAGGGTTCTCACTGTGGCAGCCACTGCACGCACAGACACAGTAAGAGCTTCTCAAAGAGATGCCACGGCATCGGAGAGAGAACTCTGAGTCCCAAAAAGATTATACTGAGGACAGGAAAGGAGCGGAAAAGCACCTCGAAGAAAAACTCAGGTAGGATATAGGACTCATCAAGCTGGCCTAAAAATACCCACCCGTAACACGTGATTTCTTCTTTACGTGCCCGAAGGGCAGCATGAAATAACACTATCTCTGAAGACTGGGGCATCTTCTTGGAAGAATTTAGTTTTTGTCTCTGTTCTCTCTGCTGGCCATCAGACTGGGAAACCTAGAAATGCATCTGACAACCTCCACAGCACCTATTAATGAATTAGATCTGACGTTGTACATATAGTGATGAATATAATCCTTGGATGGCTGCGGTACTTGCTAATTTGTTCTGAAAATGCGGCATTCTTAATTCAGTAAAACCAAAGAACAGACACTAAAATTAGACTAACTTATACCTACAAGATCAACCAGTAAGTATGTCAAGCTGATTAATATCTACTGTAGCAATATGGTCGAAAATTTATTTCGGTATTAGTTATAACTATCTAGTATAAATGATTTTAGTATATTAGTTATGATATATTTTGAAAATTACAATGTAAACCTTAAAAGAATGAATACCACTGATATTAAAATCACTACACTGCTGGGTGTGGTGGCCCACACCTGTAACCCCAGCACTCGGGAGGCTGAGGCAGGAGGATCCTTGCGAGTTTGAGAGCAGCCTGGGCTATATAAGTGAGCTCAAGGCCAGCCTGAACTGCATAGTAAGACCCTTTCTCAAAAAGACAAAAAAAAAAAAACAAAAAAACCCAAAAAACTACATTAAGAGTTTCATTCAAAATAAATATTGTGGCCATACTGTCACAGGATTATTGAAAATATTAGATGTTTAATATAAATGGTTACAGGCTGTCTATCAAAGACTACAAATACAATCTGTAATCCCAAGCACTGTGGGAGGTTGAGGCAGGAGGAGGCAGGTTTGAGACCAGCCTAAGCAACTTAACAAGACCCTGCCTCAAATATTAAAGAGAGACTTAGGATGTAGCTTAGTGGGAAGGCCCTGAGTTCAATCCCAGAGGAGGGAGGGAGGGAGAGAGGGAAGGAAGCAAACCACACTTAATTATGCTAATTGTTTCTTTTCTTTCTTCCTGTGTGTGTGTGTGTGTGTGTGTGTGTGTGTGTGTGTGTGTGTCTGCTGTTGTGTTTTAAATCCAGGACCTTGAGTGTGCTATTTATTCTTAAGTAAAAAATAAAAATCAAAGTATAGCTACAAACTGCACTGTGTAGTTTATACACTAAACTTTTCTTGCTTTTACAACATAAGGACTTCAACTTCTGACTATTGGGCAATCACCTTAGACATTTTACGTGGTCAAGTTTCTGTCCAAGGTACCTTCTTGGTAAGCTTTTTTACTTTTCATTACTCAACTGTTGGATTTAATTTCATGATTTGTGTTCAATTTTATTAAAACCAGCTTTAGCCTAAGTAAATTTGTGTCTACTTTAAGAGATTGGAAATAGAAAAAATTAATTTTTGCCCAATTTAAAAAATTTGTATCAGTCATATCATTGAAGGTTCAAACAAGCCCAGTGTAGTGGCACACGCCTATAGTCCCAGCTACTTGGGAGGCTGAGGCAGAAGGATCACTTGATTCCGCAAGTTTGAGAACAGCCTAAGCAACATAGCAAGACTCCATCTCAAAAAAACAAAATTTTTGTTCACATGAAAGCTATTTAGGGGAAACAGAATATGCCCTATGTAACAAATAAGAAAATTGAGGGTCAGAGGTAAGAAATAACTTACCAAAGTTGCATAATTCATACCCCCCTCCCAAAGAAAACCCAAATCTTTTGCAAAAGTCTCTCTGAAATAACTGAACAGGAAAAGCGCACAACTTCAGGTCAGGAGGATGGGAAAAACATTCACATACCCTCAAGAAATCGCCACACTGAGCAAAAAGATATTTGCTAACTTACTAATGGAATGATGAAGCTTTGTGTCAGTTCCAAAAAATATCGTCGGAGAATAACGCTTTGAGCCTCAGAAGGACGTTTCTGTTGCACACCCTAAAAGAGGAAACGATGAGAAACCTATATTCTAGTGTCAGGAAACACAAAACAACAGGGGAATACCAAGTTCAACTGCTTTGTAAATACACATTTGTACTTGATATTAAAAAAAAAAGCTGGAACTTCAACTTGGAGTAATTTAATTTGAAGTTTACTCTGTCACATCATGTGAAAAGCATCTTTATTTTTTATTTTTTTAATTTTTTTTGGTTTTTCTCCGGTACCGGGAACCGAACTCACGACCTTGCGCTTGCCAGGCAGGCGCTTTGCCGCTGAGCTAAATCCCCAGCCCCAAAAAGCATCTTTAGACAAAGCCGGAGAGAGCCAAGGGAAAGGCAGGAGGAAAGGCTGATCAATGAGTAATAAGTTATACTTACAAACAAGAAGTTCTGAGGTGGTGACATACACAACATACATTATATAACAATTTGTGTTTTGGTGCCCACCCCCCCAGTACCAGAAATTGAACTCATGACCTCGCGCTTGCCAGGCAGGCACTATGCCACTGAGCTAAATCCCCAACCCCCTATTTTTTGGTCTTTTGGAGACCGGATTTTGCTATGCAGTTCTGACTGGTGTTGACCTTATTTTAAAGCCCAGAACTCATGGCAATCCTCCTGCCTTGGCCTCCCGAGTACTGGGATTACAGGCATGTGGTACTACACCCAGCCCCATACATAACCATTGTGTACTGTAATTCTCAAAAAACTAGAAGATAGGACTTTTTAATGTTTTCACCATAAAGAAATGATAAATGTTTGAGTCAGATAAGTTTAACCTGATTTAAATGTAATAGCACATACATATCAAACAGTACTTCATTAATATGTACAATTTTATGTTTTTCTATATCAGATAAAAATTAACTTAAAAAAACAGAAGAGTGCAAAACCTAAGCGATTTCAGCATAGGGGTGATAATTTTATTTCATATTTGCTATATTAATAGTATTTATTTATTTATTATTATTAATTTTTTTTTGACTTTTTGAGACAGGGTCCTGCAGTTCAAGCTGGGCTTGAGCTCACTTTGTAGCCCAGGCCGGCCTCGATCAAACTTGCAACGATCCTCCTGCCTCAGCCTCCCGAGTGCTGGGGTTACAGGTGTGCGCCACCACGCGCGGCTAGTATTTACTTTTTAAAATGCTACTTATTCCCTATTGTTAGATGTTAATTGCCTCAAGACAGAATCTGTGACTACTGATTACAGCTCCCAAGTTTCCAGAAAATTGGCACTCATTTGTAGCTACAACTCCAGTATTCAAGCCTATAACTGAATATTGCTACTTTAGTCTCTTGATTCTTTTTTTTTGGGAGAGGGGGTTGAGACATGATCTCGTTATGTAAGCTCAGGCTGGCCCTGAACTCACTATGTAGCCCAGGCTGGCCTTGAACTCACAGAGATCCTCCTGCCTCAGCCTCCTGAGTACTAGGATTAAAGGCATGCACCACCCAGCTTTTCTGAATTCTATTTTTTCTTTTTTTGTCTTTTTGAGATAGGGTCTCACCAGGCAGTTCAGGCTGGTCTTAAGGTCACTTCATAGCCCAGGCTGATCTCAAATTCACAACGACCCTCCTGCCTTAGCCTCCCAAGTGCTGGGAATACAGGTGTGCACCACCACCCCTGACTTTTTCTGAATTCTTATGAAACTTTGGTTTAAAAGTAAAACTTTATTTCACATTATTATACACAAGGAACATATTGCCTAAATAGTTATAAAATAGCTGAACAAAGAGATTTAAATAAATGAGGGGCCAGAGATACAGCTCAGCAGCACAGTACCTGCCTGGCAAGCACGAGGTTGTGAGTTCAATTCCTGGTACCCCCCCAAAATTAATTAATTAATAAATTAATAATATGAGTAAGTAATTACCTTCTGTAATTGTTTTATGATCTCTTCATCTCTACTTAGATATGGCTTGTAAGAAGTATAAACTCCTATAAAAAAAAGAAGTACAAATTCTTAAGACTTAAAGAAGTAAACAGAAAAACCCAACTAGATAAGCATACTTTTAAAAATGAATAAAAGTCAATACCAGGTTTAGAATCCAGAGTCTTTAGGTTCTTCAGTTTTTTCACTTTAACTTGCTTAGGAATTTCACCTGAAGGAAACATAATATCCTTCTAACTATAATCATAACGTATTATAAAATTGGAATTTTGTAAGATTAATAATCTATGGGCTATCCATTAATTAGAAGTGTCATAGCTAAAACATTTTTCTTAACATTAATTAATATTTAAGAGTTCAAGGCAACACGTTCAGGACCCTTCCTGACTCTCAGGAGCTACTCCAATTCCCCATTCCTATTCCCCAATAGATTCTCATACTCTTGTTCCTTAGAGTTCATTCTTTGACTTCAGAGAACACAAACTCAACATATCTGATAACTAGCATTTCCCTTACATCACCTTATTTTCTTTATTAAATAGACACAAAAATAAAAAACTTAAAAAGGTCATTCCTGGTATTTTAAAACTGGGTAAAGGAATATTCGATTCTTGTATCAGTACAGAAACATTAACGATCTTTCATTAACACATATCTATCATTACTTAAATTTTTCCCTTTTTGTTACTTAATCCAGTTTAAAATTTATATGTCAAATACATGAAATTGAAAACTTAAATGTCAAATAGGAATAAAATATCCTTTTAGAGAAATGGCAAAGAAAGAAATTCCTTAGTGACTGCAAGATATAGTATTCAAAAGGTTTTTTTCTGGTTTCTCTCCAAATTCTGCTTTTGCATTTAAAACTTAGCACTGCCCCCAAGTGGTGATAGCACGTGCACCCACAGGTCTGAGCCACACAGAACTGAGGCAGCTGCCCCGCTGAACAGTCTGCATAGTCCATAGTGGTGGCCTTGCGGTCAAGGGGAGCTATAACCTAAAAATCTCATAAAATGCAGAGAGAAAATGCCTTAAGACACATACTTTAAAGTGTTATGAACACAACTACTTTAACTCATTTTTTCCTCTCTTTCCTCCTGATGTCCCTCTCTCTGCAGAAGAGTGAAAGAACCTACAAACTGAGAGACAATCTAGAGATTTTCTAATTTAAGCCTCTAAATTTATAACATACTTTTATGTTAAATCATTACAAGATCGAACTGCTTGCTTGGGATAGGAGTGAGATTATATGAATAAGAAACATTTTCACTTGCAATCATATTGCTAAAAATTTTAACAGCATGTACTATTTATAATTTTTACTTTGAAATAATTTCAGTCTTACAGAGCTGAAAAATACTGTCAACTTCCCTGATGATGTTAAACAGGATCTTGTTAAAGAAGCAAAATGACATACATGTACTGATTTTTTTATGCAGCAAATATTAGTAAATTCAAGATACTTGTAATACAGCTAAGTTGTGAAGGGGGACTCACAGTTTAACACCACAATATGACAAAGAAATGATAACACGGAGAAATCTGTGCAAAGGTAGAACTATTAAACAGGCTGGGTATGATCGAACAAAGCTGTAGTCCCAGCTATCACAAGTGTGAAGCCAGCCTAAGCAACCAGCCAGACCCTGTCTCAAAATAATTAACAGGGCTGGGGATGTTGCTTAGTGATGTGGCACCTTTGGGTTCAATCCCCAGTGCTGGGGAGGTGGGGAAGGGACGAAAGGACGGACAGGCATTCAGACAGACACACAGCGAGACACACGGAAGAGAGAGACACAGACTATGGAAGAACAATGTCCTGGCCAGTTACTGGGGATTCCTTATGGAGGTGTCATTTAAGCACTCTCAAAGGAGAAATAAAAAGCTATCTGTGGGAAAAAGGGGGAAAACCTTGGTGAAGTTAAATCCAGGAGCATGAAGAGCAGGCTGCTTAAAGAACTGTACATAATGGGAAGGAAAACAGGCAGCATTTACTAAACATTTAGTCTATGCCAATCTTGACTCTAGGAAGACTGCACAAACTACTGCCTTTAATCTTCACAATAAAAACATGCTTATGATGCCTACATCACAGATTAAGGAACAAAGGCATGAACAGAACTGACATTCACCTAATATACACAAGGACCATCTGTTTATTTCTGTCACTCATTCTGAGTGATAAGCACCTCTTCATACAGGTTGTTAGCCCTGTCATATCCAGATACAGAGAAATAACTTGTTCAAGAATACACAAATAGGGCCGGGGATATAGCTCAGTGGCACAAGCGCCTCCCTGGCAAGCACTAGGTCCAGAGTTCAATTCCTGGTACCAAAAAGAAAAAAAAAAAAAAAAAAAGGAGACACAAATATCATGCTTCAGCCAGGATATGTGACAACAAGCACGGCAACCCAACTTCCAAGCTGTCATTCACCACCACAACGCAGCAGCACACACGGAGAGCACACTAAGATGCGCAAAGGATACACCTACAGAGGTACTGTCAGATCAAGAGGAACTATAATGACATCTTGTACCAGAAAATGGACCCCCAGTCGGGATACTTTAGTCTGTTAGTTATCCGGGTAATAGTTCCTTATCTAGTTCTGGTTGCTCCTGTCTCTTAGAAACGGCTGGTCACTGGGATGCATCACTGGTCACTACAATGCACACTGTACAAACCAGTCCCCAATTGCCAAGCCAATCTGCCTCTGTACTTGCTGCTTACTTGTCCAATACAAGTCCTAGACCACCAGAGATCAGGGCCTGATATTTTGGGAATGATGCCCATCAGTGTCCGTTGACGTAAATAAATCTGCCTCCAAATCCTGGGTGTATTTCAGTGTTTCTGCTTGCCATGGCATCTGGTGCACTGGTCAGGAACACTGACTGTGCTGACCTCTTTGGTCACCAGTCGTGGCCCTTGCAGACAGAGCAAGGACCTCTCCAGGTCCCAATGGGAAGGCGTGCCCTTGAAATTTCTCGAGTCCCCTCGGAGGTTTGGAGGAGGATTCTTGGCTCCTGGCTCAAGCGGCTCTCATCAGACCCCAAAGGGAGGACACAGTCTGTCTGCCTGCCTGGCTGGTTCTGGTAAGACCCCCAGGGGCACCCCAGTTAGTCTGTCAGTCCTCCTCAACTCAAGTAGGAGGGGAGTCCTATCAACTCCGGTTAGTCAGGACCACCCTAAAGGGAAGGGATTGGAATGTTTAACCTCTGAGTGCCTGCTGAATGCACGTGTGAGTGAGTGGACTGGACACTGTAAGCCACAGGCTGCTCTGTCTGTGCACCAGGACTGGGAAGCACTGCTCCTGATGGCTGACTGGGCCCTCACCTGCGGTTCCGTGGCAACTGGCATATGGCATAATAGAGGCCTCACACCCCCGCTTAGCTAACTCATGCGTAAGTCCCCACAAGGGGCCCAGCCAGGCAGGCATCTAAATGGTCTCTGAGGAGCACCCACCCTTCGTCTGTTGTGTCACCATTCAAGGGTATACAACACACACTAGAAAGTCAGAGATGGTAACTAATGAGCCAAAACCTACAGTCACTGACCGCAGGAAAAAGGGCTTTTCTGAGATAACAGTCAAAAATGAAACCAAACCATCAATGAAACAAAAGGAAAAAAGAGGCCCATTATTCCTGAGAATTCCCCCTTAGCACCCTCATCAGCCACTGCAGATGCTGCCAACACCTACAGCTTCACTCCCTATTCACGACTCATCTACTTCCAGCCAAATGAACTGGTTCCAGCTATTCATTGCCTGTATTCTGCCACAGGGGCCCTCCCTCCAGACCTACTTAGACACCTGTCCTGGTCACAGGGCATTGGTTAGTGCCTATCTGAGATGACTGTCAGCAGTTCCTTCTGAGTTCCACATTTTGGCTGAGGAAGATCGGACTGTCAGTCTTGACAAATGAGTTGCACCCTGTTGGGGCTTGAATAAATAGGACAGACTGAGCTCTATCAAGTTGGGTCCCCAAGACCCTGTGGTCATTGCAAGAGTCATGGGCAAACCTGTGACTTTCCTGGTACACAATGGAACAGAACTCTCTGCCTTCAAAAGTTCCCTCTGTCAAAAGTTACCATCATCGGGACAACTAGGATTCTTGCCTCTCACCTCTTCTACCAAGCACAAACTTGCAGCCTTCGAGGACATCTCCTGGGTAAGCCAGTCCCCATACTGCATCTGGGAAGAGACCTCCTCTTCACATTAGAGCTGACCGTCTCCTTTGCACCAAGCCAGTCAGCCTCCCTCTTGTTTAACCCTGTACTTTCAACTCTCACTGTTCCTCAAGAGGAAGATGACGCCTGCATCAGCATGAGACAGGTAGCCACAATCCTGAAATTCCGTGACCCCCACTGCTGTCAGATGTCATAGGAAGCACAAACAGGCATCCAGCCACACAACAGTTTGAGATCCTGATGGACTGTTAATCACTTTTCACTCAGTGGTTCCCGAGCCACACACTCTTAATCTCCAGATGTCATCTGGTTTATATGTCTAGATTTAAAAGATGCCGTCCTCTGCTTGTGAGTTGTTCCCATAAGCCCCTTCAAGTAGGAAAATCCTGAAATAAGACACAACTCACTTGAACTCAATTGCCACAAGGGGTTAGAAACTCTCCCACTATTTTCAGGGAGGCTCTACAACAGATTTGGTCAAGCCACCAGCATCTTCTCTCCAAGACAGTCTGTTTCTCTGTCCCTTCCAGCACTTTCATGGTCCCCCAAAAAAGAAAAAATTGAGACTTCAAAACTTCAAAATGTCTATAGACTGTCAACCTGCTAAAATACACCTCTCCTTCCTATAAAGCCAGTTCAAGATCTCCAGGCTGCCAATGCTGCTGCGATGCTCTCTGTATATATTGCCTCAGTCTTCTGCTACCCACGGCCTGCTGGTGCACCTGCCTGGACCTAAAGAATGCCTTCTTCTGCCTTTGCTTGGCTCCTACCAGCCAGCCCCTCTTCACAGCTGACCTGGACTCAACCTCCCAGATTTCAAAGACTTGTTTCCTCTTTGAAAAACCACTTTTGATTAATGGCACCCAAGCTGCCTGCTGGAAAGGCACAAAAGCTCTGCAGCAATATCTGGCAGAAACTGGTTACAAGAAAAAAACTCCACAAATTTCTCAGAGCTGTGGGCTTCTATACAATCTGGATCCTTGAGTTCACAAAAAAAATGATGCTTACTGTCAGCCCCTGGGAGAGCCCA